GAGGATAGGATAGAGAGCAGAATTCATCAGACACTAGAATGGCAATATGTAAATCAATGGAAATGTAATTGATGTAACTGATGTGATTCAGCAATCTGTATACGGGGTAAAAATGGGAGTTCATAACCCTTTTGAATCAAACTGTGAAATATGATATATCAAGAAAGATGTAATGTTTTGAACCACCAACAATAAAAAAAAGAAATGTAGGTTCCCAGACCTTGAGATGCTGAGGTCTTTGGGTATGGGACTACCATTCTCAGGTGGAGAGAGGCTCTATGTCTGACAGCGGGGTTCTTCCCCTCATCTCCTCCCACATTATCCACCAGGTGCTGTTGTTGGGACCTGCTCCTCTTGACAGATGGCCAGCTGGAACATGGGCCAGATTCCTTTTTATGTCCTGCTTTCCTGTTTCTAGGACAAGTAGTGCTGTGTGTGTTAGCTTTCTATCACTGAAACAAAATACCCAAGAAAATCAATTTAGAGGAGGAAAGATTTATTTTGGCTTACGGTTTCAGAAGTTTCAGACCATGGTTGACTGGCCTGTGAATCAGAGTATCATGGCAAAGAATTTGTGGTGCAGCAGAACTTCTCACCTCATGGCAGCCAGGAAGCAGATGGGGGAACAAACCAGGGACAAAATATACCTTTCTAGAGCATGTCCCCAGTGACCTACTTCTTCCAACTAGGCACAGTTTCTACCACTTCCCAATATTCAATTCAGTTATGAACCAATCAATGGGTTAATACATTGATGACAGAGCCTTCATGATCCAATCAATTCCCAAAAGACCACCTCTGAGCATTGCTGCAATAGGGATCAAGCCTTCAATAATGAGCCTTTGGGGAATATTCCAGATTCCCACTATTATATCCTGGCTACCTGCTTCCCTGCTAGTACCTGCCTTGCAGGCTGTCAGCACTTTGGCCAAAGACCCTCCAAAGATCTCCACCCTCTTGACACTTCCCTGAAGCCCAGTGAACCTAACCATGACCTCTGGTGTTTTCTCTTACTGCCTGTCCCAGAACCATACCTCTTGCCTCAGGTCACTTGCATATGTGTGGACCAGGCTGCCCCACTTCACCCATGAAGGATTTGGCAGGGGAATCACATTTGGCTTTAAGTACCATTTTAAATGTAGTGAGGCTACTTCTTCATGGAAACATGTCTGTAAGGCATGTCCTTTTTATGATAGGAGAAGCCTTCAGTGGTGAGAATAACACTATTGCTGGCTTCCTTTGCTTCTCTGACCACACATAAGAGTTGCTCACTTCAGACTTGGCCTAGGGTGACTCGGTAAGGGACACTGCTGTGCTTTGTAATGCTCACTCCATAGTGACTCCTGGCTCTGGAGGTAGCATCTACTCGGCCCTGTTTGATGCCACTTCCCAACCTAATCCAAGTACAGCTCTTCTTTCCTTCTATCTTTTTTTTTTCTTTTAATCATGTACTTATGTTGCTGGTTTCATGTCAATCTCCTGGTTTAAAAAAGAATAAATTATTTTCTTCACATCCTTGTAAAGATCTTTCTTCTTTCATACCCTTCTTCCCTCCAAAATGGGGGGAAAATACCTAAGGAAGGTGGGCAGATAATTTGAATCTGAACCATTAGATTTCGTCAGGGGATCATCTCTCCCTACGCAGATAGTGACACTGGGACTTCGAATCCTGACCTTGGAAGAGGAATAGTTGTCTGGCGCCTTCTGTGTCTGGGACTGAAAGACTAGTGGTCTCTTTCACTCTTTTCCCTCCTCACTCTAAGGTAGTGTTTCCCATTGCTTTCCTCTCCCCTCCATTTTCCACCTGGCCTGGTCCTTGTCTTGTCTGTTTTGTTGTTATTTATGAAGCAGCTATTCCTTGATGGGTCAGGATGCATTTTGGTGCAGAGTAAAGAGGTC